AGACCAAAGTCAAAAAAAAGTAAAAAATGTACTAAACTAATATACCCTTGTTCTAAAAAGCTTTGGCAGCTCAAAAATCAAAATCATGATCAATGTAATAGAAGGTGCAATGTAGGCATTGCCCCCATATTTAAATACGTAGAATATCTAATAAAATCAAGAAGTCTCTAAGAATTTCAATAAGCAATAATAAATGTATATAGGGATCTATGAAATTGTTAATTAGAATGATGTTTTACCTGTTTACATCAGGGTTTTTTCAAGGGGATGGCTTCCAACTTGCAAAACTGCACCGATACAAATGACTGGGGGTGAAACGACGAGAATTTTCTTCTGTTTCTATTGACAAAAAGAAAGCAGATATTGAATGAACGTCATCAGGACACGCATTAAGGCACGCGGTCCGAAGGTATATAAAAAAGAACTTACCGCTGAGGGTCAAAATCCCATAAAAAAAAATGGAAGACGTAGCACCCAAAATAACTAAACTTAAGTCACACAACAAAAAGAAAAGGGCGCTAGTGTATGAATGGGCGCTTGGGGCCTGATATCCCAGAATCTGGAGAACGACAAAAAACCCCTGCACCACGACCTCAACGGAAGCTGAAAAGCGAATCCCAGAATACGTAACGTTCTAGAGGAAGGAATCTTGAGTGGCTTTGAAGAAGATATGTTTTATAGGAAGCCAACTAACGGAGAAAAACTGCAGAGTTTTTTGCTGATCGTCAACATCATACTGAATCGCTGAGAAAGAAAGATATAATACGAGTGAAATTACACAATCAATAAACTATTAAATTTGCAAAAAGAAAATCATTGAAAAGGGGTTTGGCTTAGGAATGGGCACTCTATTATCAATGAGGAGAAATTCAAATTACTGAAGTGATAAATAGAAAAAAAAAGGTTACGTGATTTTGGCACGTGACATAGTAACAGAAAAGCAAAATTTGGTAGGCGAACTTCTGTTGAAGAGCAGTAATATTGACTGTCCTGAAAAAGCTTTTTATTCATTTTTCAGGTCAAGGATGTTCATCCGGATCAAAGAACTGAATAAAAGTTTGAAAAACCAGAAAAATCGTGAAAGGAAATGGAGAAAAATTGTGACTCAGACTAAGTCATTTCCATTTATTGTTATACCGCCAGCTTACTGCAAAAAGATGATAACTCCATTTTTCTACTTTTCGACTTGCGTACATTTTCACACTTGCATGTACTTAGTACTTAGGATGTTCTGTGAAATAAGGATTGGGGACCTCGGTTGGCCGCGTGGGTCAGAGTGTCGTGCTACTGATGAGCCGGCCGGCCGGGCCGCGAGTTCGAATCTCGCCTTCGCCATGGATGTTGTGTGTTTGTTTTAGGCAGCAGCGGTGGCCGCAGTAGTAGACTCTTCGGTCTCCTGATCAGCCGCCGTGCGCTGTGCGAGTTCGAGTCCCGTCCCAGGAGAAATGTTTCTCTTGGCCATGGATGTTGTGATTGTCCGTAGGTGGTAGATGGTCTCTGACTGTCGAACGCGGAGGTACCACCCGGCGGTTCTCGTAGGCGGAGCCAGAATGTGTGCATGTTGCATGCACACGTGTTCCCTCGCCAGAGTCCGTGTGGCGTCCCCCCTTTCCCATGTATCCCCCATAGCCCCACGGGGGCTTAGGCCTTAGGCCTTCGTGGTAGTTGGAGTATAAAAAAAAATGAATAAATGTAGTGCAGTATTAACGTCATGAGCATGTTAATCCTGCTCCACAGAACATATTAAAATATAGGTAATGTAGAAAAATTTTGTTTTTACAGTATGTGGAGCTAGAAAGCCGTTTAAGCTATAGCCTGTGAGTTAGGAATTACAGGGTTGAAATCTTTTATTAAAATCCGCCATTTTGTTTTTTATAAAATTTAAATGTTGTCAGTGTCACTCACACCGCTAAGACGAATCCAACGACACTTCATATGTGAAAATCCGACAGATCATTGCATGAATAAAAAGGCTGATGTTAAGCAGCTCAGTGTCATTTATTCCTACCTGTTGAATTGCGAAAAGTTAGAACGACTACATATCCCAGTCGATCTAACGTCGTCTCAAAATTAAAATACATTTCCAATTGTTTATCCTGTTAATTGAAACATTTCACTCACGCAACTTATATATAAAGAAAAATTTAATATAAATTCACACAAACAATCTTTTCAAGCGTGTATCACTATCTTACACTGGTACACTCATATGAACTATACTTTTTTTCCAGAACAAATTAAACTCAGCATTTTGGTAATTAGGATGAGGTTTTACCGAGCGTCCCTCGTATACATTATGCCCAAATTTGGCAATGATGTTTACAGTTCCACATTCCGTCGCGACAATCACATGTCATCTGTCGACGCATCATCTTTCCGTTCCGTCCATCTTCTTCACGTGAAGCGGATGTACGAGTAGAAGGTTAGAAACGACGTTCCGGTTTTGTTCACAAAATTGCATCTTGTTAAAAAAAAAGAATTTTAATATGTTTCGGGTGTATTGAGTTGGAGTGTTAGCACCTAACGGTGGTATCCGTCGTTATCAATAAGCCCAATGTGTCCGTCCGATTGGTTTTATAATTGTAACAAGTGCTCTCATCCTCGCGTGAGTTTTGAAACACCATTTGGCTGCAACCTCAACGACGAGTAAGTTGTTTGACAATTTAAATCTTTCCCGTATTGGTTGCTAGCATTATAATTGTGCTTCCAGCTCCTGATGAAGGCTCCATGGAGAATTTCAGAAAGCTAGAGATTACCGTCAAAAGAGTCAACTAAAGCCTAAAAAGTTTGCCAATTTCCCAATTAACAATTAATTATATTTTTGCCCAACTAGTCGTTAGCAATGGCAACGACTACTGCTCACGTATATATATATATATATATATATAGAGAGAGTAAATTATTATGCAGAGAAAGGTATATAACAAAAATAGGAAAATAATGGACAAAATCCGCAAAAAGTGGATTTGAGCAGAATAGGATAGGTAACCCGAGCGATACGTATTTCTGCTGGTTGGCTTCATCAGGCCCGAAATGAATGCACATATGCAACTACAAAAGTAGAGACACATGCCCATACATCCGGATACGGGTGTAACCTGAGGAAACAAAGATGGAGAGGAAAAAAAAGACACACGAACTCCACAACAAGAGCCAACCTACACATTGTAGTATCAAATTCTAGGTCTTCTAGCCATTTTTACTTTTGTACTACTACTTTTGTAGTTGCATATGTGCATTCATTTCGGAACTGATGAAGCCAACCAGCAGAAATACGTAACGCTCGGGTTACCTATCCTATTCTGCTCAAATCCACTTTTTGCGGATTTTGCCCATTATTTTCCTATTTTTGTTATATATAAATATATTATACAGTGAACTTTTTTATGATGATTACAGAGTTAACTTTTGTTCAAAAGAAAATTGAGAGCAGAATTTTTGTTATATGCATATTCTGAAGTTTTAGCGGCATGGTAAATACACTTCTTCCCTTAATATAAGCACAGACCCCTATTATAAAAATCAATTACGAGTATATACGAGCCCCTTCCCACTTCAGTTGGCCCAACTATTGAAATCTTATTTTTTTTCTTATCATTATAGGTTTAAAATATTAACAATGAATATTTTGATAATATATAGTAGAAAACACCAACTTTATCGCTCCCTAATCAAATTTGCAGCATAAAAATAACACATGTTGCAATTACAGCATATCAACCTATTTTCATTTCAATGCAAAATAAGTCTATAACGCATAGGTGGCTGTGAAAAATAAAAGCCGTGACAATTTTTTTATTATCACACAATAGTTTTGGGTAGTTAAGGTTTTCAAAATGGGTAGAGGAAAAGTTATTAGTGAGAGCATTCGGTTACTGATAATTAAATTTTTTAATTCTGGGAAATCAAACTCTGAAATTGCAACTTTGTTAGACCTATCGCGGTACAGTGTGAGAAATATTGTTAGAAGATATAACGTAACTGGTTCAGTTAATATTAAGCCACGATATGTGAAAAAAAGTAATATCACAAATGCCGACCGAAGAGCATTAAGAAGAATAATCGTGAAAGATACGCGTGCCAATTATTTACAATTAAGTGTGGAGTGACTCATAGAGAGTCCCACAAACTGGAATTTAGCACTTGCAAGGCAAGTTTTCCTATAGAAAAAAAGTGAAGTAAGAACCCTAAAGTTGCACAACTTGTTTATAGGCCAAATAAAAGCCACTATTTACTCCACTGCAAAAGAAAAATGGGCTTAGATGGGTTAAAGAACATAGACAATGGACATCTCAACAATGGTGTGCAATACAATTGAGTGATGAGGCCCGATTCGAAGTTTGTGTTAGTGACAGTCGCAGTAGAGCTATTCGCAAAAAAATGAAGCATTCCATGTTGACTGTCTGAAGAGAAAAGTGAAATTTCCAGCATCCATTATGGTCTGGGGCAGTTTGTCATCAAAAGGAGTAGGAAAACTTCATTTTATTGATGCAAATGTGGATACAAACAAATATTTGGCAATTTTAGAAGAATCGCTTTTACCAGTGATGGAAGAATGTTTGACATCCGGCCAAACTTTTGTGTTTCAGCAAGATGGTGCAGCGTGCCATACCTCAAAAAAGGCTGTAAAATGGATGGAAGAAAATAATGTACCACTTTTGAAATGGGTTTCTAGCAGTCCAGATCTGTCACCTATTGAAACTTTGTGGCACGAGATGAAAAACAAAAAAACAACATCCTGCTCGTACAATCACCGAACTGAGACAAAAGCTTCAAGAAATATGAGATTGTTTTGCACCAAATTTTTGCCAAAACTTGGTTAACACTATGCCCCAAAGAATTTCAGTCGTAATACAAAATAAAGGTGATGTTACCCAATGGTAATCTTTCAATTGTTGCTTTGTTAACTTCGCGCATTTATTCGCACATTGTTTATTTGTTCAGATGTTCTATTAGTTATAGGTCTAAGTGATTTCAGATATGTATTTTTTACGACTAGAGTGTATCTGAAATGTTTTTGAGAAAATAAATTGTTTTAGAAGTAAATAGTTTCGGCATGTTTAGTTTATAAAGGCATATTTTGGTACAAATCTTGAAGTGGGCCAGCTGAAGTGGTAAGGGGCTCGTAGACATTATTTTAACATTTTTCTAATACATACAGTTATGTGTTACTAATAAAATTTTTCTATAAGAAATAATGTTTTATTGTGGGCAAAGCGGGATGAAAATAATTGCTTGCCAAGTAGTCTGAATATATAATATAGAAGTATTCATTTGGAAACTTCATCACGGATTTGTCGAAAACCACTGATTAAGGGCCGTATCGTCAGTCGCTCCTACTCCTGTATGGCCTTCTTGATTTCGATAATATCATGTCTTCTTCGGAAAGGTACTTGTATGTCCTGATTTAGATTTCCGGCATGCTGACAGTTCTGGCAAGAGGTTATGTTGTTGTTTTCACGTTTAAGAAATTTTAGACCCATGAATCGAAGGCGGAAGCCTAATTTATCATTTTCTTGCTGATCAATCAATGATAATTCCCGACAATGAACAAATTCCACAAGCTGTGGTATCTTCAAATTCCATATCTGGTATTAATGATCTGAAAATAAACAATTAGATGCAAATTTCAGTGGAGAGGGGCGTGGCTGTATTACCTGGCCGTACCGTATCGCCACAGCGAGGTACAGCACTCGCACGCTTCAGTCTCTCGGCAACCATCGGCGCAGCGGAATGTCTAAGCGTTCACAGCTCCGTACAAAGCGCTCTTCGGTTTAGCTACTTTTTTTCAGTAGGGGTGTTCACTATAGAGTTCTCGATTGTCTCTCAGTGGTGCCTTGGTGTTATGACGTGGATGTCAAGTGTCTCCAAAGTGGAAATTAGGTCTACTTCCCACTCGTCTGAGGAAAACAGGATACCTGTGCAGGAAACTAGGTGAGCCTTGCATAGTCATCTACTTGTGTTAGGGTTGACATCCTATGTTTTTTTAAATAAATTGCGCACATTGCATATACTGACAAATTAGTCATATACTGAGGTATTTGGGGAAAACTAAAATTTGGCCAAATCGTTTTTATTTTTGTCTGACTTTATTTTAAGAGATGTCAAAAAACTAACACAAACAATAAAAACAACTAGATAAGCAAAAAGGACCCATTATTTTGAAAATGGTAGGTATCTCAAAGTCAGACTAGGTTAAGCCCTAATAAGTAGTTTTAAGACAATTGCATTGCAGTCATAATTCACTTATCATTACATGTAGATAGGTGCTGCAAGTATCAAATTAAAATTCACAACTTTATCACGAACTTCACATGTAAGACTGATTTTAGGCAAAAATGAACTTAACCTAACGTGGCTTTGAGGTACAGAATTTGATTTGTATTCAAACTGCTGGGTATAAATTTTGGATTCAAATTGTTATCAATAATGGAGACTCCAGCTACCGAGCATACTACAGAAATACATTAGAGGCATCATCAATATCAAGGAGATTGCTGCACCGAGCCTCAAAGAACAATATGCTGTGTTTATCAAATGTGTTCCACCATATATTAATGTTGTAGCATGTGGTATATGAAAAAAAGTGAGGAAACTTAAATATTTCTTTTCCAATTTGTTCGTTAATTGACTTGTAATCTTAACATAAATGGAAAAATCTATTAAAACTGTGGCATAGGAAAGAAAATTGGATGTCCATATCTAGGGGGATGGTTTTAGGTCCATTTTAAGATGATAACTTAATAAATATGATTGTATATCCTAAATGTTTTAACTTTTGAAACACAGGGCGTTAGAAAGATCAAGAAATAAATCGTTGATTATGAATATCTGTAATACCACTTAATGAAATTTTACCTGCCTATTTTGATATACAGTGATGGTATGATGGCCTCTTATCAAGATTTTCAATCACTTCTAAGCAAAAATCGCTTGGATTTTTTTGACATGAATTATCTGACCGAGTCAGTCTACTTGCTTTTTAAAAAGATTTATTCTCGATTATCAAAAATACAATTTTATTGATGTATGTAGTATGAGCGCTAACAACAGACCAACTAACTCTGAATACAATAAAATAGGACTGGATAAGGCAAAGCGCTGATCCAGGGAAACTCGATCCTCTTCTTTAGTGGTAGGGGTAAATCTTCTGTACTATAACGCCTCCCCTTGTAGATGCAACTTCGAGGGTTAACGAGGAAGTTGCACATTGGAAAGATCAACTTCTTCAATCGGGGTTCTTTGTGGTTTCTTCGGCTTAGTAAAAATCTTCGGAATGATCTTCTTGTAGACAAAACAGCAAAGTAGCAGCAGCAGTACTCCATACAACAGGATTGTCCAAGAACTGGGAATGTGCGACACCTTATGTGAATGGATGTCAACACGATTTTCTATTAATCTTCTTTTTACTTTGTGAACTTCATCAAATTCTATTTGGTCTAGATGAAGGCTGAAGTCACTCGGCTTGGTAGCAATTGAAGTATTGCTATCTATGTTTGGAAAAATAATAGGCTGACTTCCAATCGATATAGGCTCTTGATTGGCGATCAGGTCTTGATTTAGTTCCAGTGTACAACCGACTGGAATTTCGGCTAAGTAGGATCCCAAAACTTTGACTGTTTCTTGGCCTTCTTGACAGCTTAATGTAATGGTGGTTTCATTGGGTATAAGCAAGATCCATTGTCCGAAATCATGCAGTTTCTTCATTACTGGCTCTGTGATTACGGCTTCTACTTCTCGGCAGGTAGTGGGAGTTTTTTGTACCAGGAGTTGAACTTCACAGGGATTGGATTCTTTGATTCTTCTCAAATCTAGTTCTTTGCAAACGTACTGTTTTGCGACCGTTTCCGTGCATGCGTCTCCCGCAAAAGCGAAGTACAACTCATTCTTTACAAGATATTTTCCAGAAGGGATGACTACTTTGAACAGACCCTTATGAAAGGTTGGAATTGAATATAAGTGATAATAATCAAATTGGATTGTATGAACAATTGGAATTTGAAGAATGTATGTTATTTTTCTATCAACTGTATAACAGCTGATTTTAATGAGCTTTTCAAAAATCGGGATATTATCCAAAGTAACTTCTAAAGGGAGTTGCTTTGTGGATAGTTTTAATGCCACTGAATTTAGTGCTTGAAGTAAATGTTTTGGTTTGATTACACTGGGGTGCATAATTCCCAATTTTGCAAAAGTAAGTGAGTTTTCTATATCCTGGAGCACTGAAATTATGATATGATAGATATTCATGATCTCTGAGATTGTATCTCTCAAGAAAATGCCATTTTCTATGTAGGCTTGTGTGTTAATCATAGCTGTTGAAAGCTGATTTATTTTAGCTTCCAATAGCTTTTGGTTATGAGTAATCTGACTTACAGTTTTATTGAAATTATCGATAAGTTCGACAGATAAGGTATTCTGACTATTGATAGCTTCTGATAACTTGTTTTGATCATTCTGCAAATCGCTTATTAGAGACTCGAATTTTTCACCATCTGAAGCATCCAGGTTTCCTGTGATTGCTTTGAAAATTGAACCTAAGCCGTTTATTAATCCCCTTTTTATTCTAACAGAAAATGATGGACCAGTTTCGTAAGTAGAGGGAAAAATGTCATTTAGCTTTCCGTCTACTTTTCTTTCTAAGAAATACAAAACATTGAGGTAATTTGCTGAGTGTTTATAGTGCTCAATATATTTCCTGGATAATGTCGCAACATTTTCAGTTTTTTTCTTAAGGTCATTAACTTCAGTGATTATTAAATTGACGTCGTAAAAATACAGTATTGAGTGACAATTTTTTGTAATTTTGGCGGTCCCTAATTTCATGGGTATCAACCCTAGGTTATTTTCTAAATTCTTCAACGTTATCGTACCATGGATTCCTATGATTCCTGGGAACCTGTAAAATAATATATTCGAAAGAAAATCTTATTTTTAGCGTGCAATTAAGAGTAAAGTAAACGTAGATTACATACATAGTTTCTTATCTAATTGCTCGAGGCTTAGTCAAACGAATAAAGTTTGCGTAGCGGACGTTTCAAATTACTTATATGCACTTTTCCGTGCTGGTCCGTCGCGACGGTCTTTTTCTCCGTATTAACACTTTGTAGTCTACACGGCTTTGAGAATTTGTTGGCGTGCTTTTTTCTAACATGCTTTTTGACGTATACTGTTTCTCGGTTATCAAGTATAGTCGGACTATCGCAATCTCTGTTAACGCGTTCTAGCGTTTTCTCTTTGTTTTGAATGAGATCAGAATTTATTTTTGAATACAATAGTTTTGTACGCTCTTTGTGGCTGTTGGTATAGTCATTGAGGAGTAATTGGTCGATTTTGATATCGAATGGTTCATTCGACGTAATATGTCCATTGATTATATCTATAGGCTTTAATTTTGTTACAGAATGTAAGGTGTGGTTGTAGGCTAAAACGGCATACAACATTTTCATTTTTATAGGGGTTTTCTGAAAGCCTTCTGTGTTCAACAATCTTAAATGTTCGGTGATAGTTGAATGAAATCGTTCAACGACTCCATTAGAATCTGGATGATTTGGCGAAATAAAATGAAGCTTAATTTTGTGAAGTGACAAAAGTTCAGTTACAACGGTATTTTTGAATTCAGTGCCATTATCTGCGATAATTCGGGTAGGAATTCCATGATGAGAAAAGAATAATATCAGATTATCAGCAATTTCAGTTCCTGAAAGCGAAGTAATCTGATATGCTTGAGCATATTTAGAAAAACTGTCTATAATTGTGAGAAATTTTGAACCTTCAAAAGTGAAAGTATCGATATGTACGATTTCAAAAGGTTTTGATGCAGTGGGGGTGAGATTCATCGCAATTTTTATCGGATGACGTTCATATTTACATTGTTGACAAATTTCACATTCATTTATAAATGTTTGGATTGATTTTTTCAAGTTAGGCCAAAAATATTTTTCTTTTATTTTCTGATGCGTTTCCTCAATTCCACGATGATTCGACTTGCTTTCGTGGTAATTCCGGATAATGTCCTTGATATCAGTTTTATCTGTAACGTCGACTAATTTGGTTCTACACATTTTGAATTTCAAAGCATCGGACTTAAACATCCTTTGTAGAACAACAGAAAATTTTTCATATATCTGGATTTTCAAAGTATAAGTGATAAATGACGTTAGGAGCAATATAATCTCGAATAAATTTAAATAACATCATCGTCAAAATCATTTTCTGAAAATTGTACGTTAATTCGTTGCTTGCTTTCAAATAAAATAGAAATTTTTGGTGGTTCAGGTGAATGTTTTACTGTACTTATGATAATCTGATTATTTCCCTGATTAACTGCGTAATCAACTATAGGAATTGTCTGAATGGGGTGTTGGTCCGCATTTGAATGTACAGTTTCGTCTGGATTTTCAGGACGATTATTTTGATATTCTAGATTGACTTGTTCATGTTCAATGATATCTACAATTTCGTCCAGGGGTTGAATAAAAAGACTGTCTTCGTCATTATCGACGTTTACGAACATAGATTCGGTATCAGGTTGTTTTGGGGTAGAAAAGTTAAATGTAGGTGTACTTAATTCAGATGAGCCTTTCTGAACTGGTCGTTCAAACTTAACGTTTTGGTGTTGAGTACCTGCGCATTCTTGAATCAAATCATCTAAGTCGTTCCAAAATGAACTGGTTTCTTTTGTATGGATCTCTACACGAGACAGGGCATATGCATTTGTATTCAGTTTGCCTTTCTTATAGATGATATTCATATCATACTCGTCTAACCTGATTTTCCATCTTAGTAATTTTGAAGAAGGGTCTCGAAGGGACCATAAGTATTTTAAGGGCATATGATCAGTAATTAGATTGAATTTTCTCCCGTAAAGATAGGGTCTAAAGTATTTAGTCGCCCAGACTATTGCTAGTAATTCTTTCTCAATCGTACTATAATTTCGTTCGGAATCATTAAGTGTGCGCGAAGCATAGGCGATAGGAAGATCCTGTCCTATAGGGCCTTGTGAAAGTACACGACCAAGGGCTACGTTGCTCGCATCCGTGGTTAAGTTAAATGGCTTAGAAAAGTCTGGATACTTGAGTATCGGTTCATTGATAAGAACATTTTTACATTTTTCGAAACAGTCAATAAATTCTGCATCGTGTTCAATTTTGGCTCCCTTTTTTAGACATTTAGTTAGAGGCTTTGTGAGTTTCGCAAAATCTTTAATAAAACGTCTATAGTAACCAATAAGTCCGAGAAAGCTTTTAATCTGCTTAGTCGTTTTTGGAATCGGAAATTTTTGGATGGCAATAATTTTATCTGGATTTGGCTTAACGCCGTCTGGTGTGACTACATGTCCGAGATAAGCTACTTCTTTACGAAGGAATTCTGATTTATCGAGCTGTATTTTAAATTTTGAAGTTCTGAGTCGTTGGAAAACTGACCTTAAATTTTCAATATGTTCTTGAAGGGATGTAGAAAAAATTATAATGTCGTCGAGGTATACGAGACATTTCTCGTTTTGTATCCCCCTTAAAATATTATCCATGACGCGTTGGAATGTGGCGGGCGCATTTTTTAGCCCAAAAGGCATCCGAAGAAACTCCCAATGCCCATTTTCGGTACTAAAGGCGGTTTTTTCTATGTCTGTTTCCTCCATCTCGATTTGATGGAAACCACTCGCTAAGTCAAGGGTAGTAAAATACTGGCATCTGCCAAGTTTGTCTAGCAAGTCGTTGATATTGGGTAATGGATATTTATCGTCAATAGTCTGTTCATTTAAACTTCGGTAGTCAATTACAACTCTCCATTTTTGCTTCCCCGAAGCGTCTAGCTTCTTTGGAATGACCCAGATAGGTGAATTATAACCTGAGCTACTTGGACGTATTATATTGGAATCCAACATTTTTTGTATTTGGCTATTTACTTCGCCTCTGTGAACAAATGGATAGCGATACGATTTTGTGTAAATGGGCCTTTCGTTTTTAGTTTTTATTTGATGTTTGACTTTATTAGTAAATGTTAGTGGAGTTCCGTCCTGGTAAAAAATGTCTGAAAACTCTCTGCAAAGTTGAACTATCCCTGATTTCTCTTCAGAATTTAGGTGATCAATTCTGATTTTCGACAAATCTAGGTCAAATTTTTGTGACGTGTCTAAATAATTGAGATCAATTTCTGGCATTTCTGATAAATTAAATGATTCTACTGAAATCGGCTGAGAAAAATTTAATGTAACAGGCTTAGTAGTGTTATTCAAAATCGTTGTCAACGCAAAATTATTTTTTGCTATCGTAAGGCATTCAGGTATCTCGCAATTATGAAATTTTTGATGAGGAATAACGATTTCACCATTGGCGATCGATGTTTTGATTTTTATTACTTGTTCGGTTCGAGGTGCGACGGTTATCAAATTCAAGTCGTTAGAAAGCTGGTGAAATTTTAGTCTAATTTTGGCGTAGGGCGTATGTAAAGTTCCTTTGCTTAAATTAATATCGGCTCTCAATAATTTTAGATTATCTAATCCAATCAATCCATCGAAAATATTGTGAAATTTAAATAGGTAAAACTTCAAATCTATACGATTAGGAAGATTGAAAATTTTCGATGCCGGGATGGATGCACTATATTTGTGAGCGGATTTTTGAAAAACAGTTGATACAACGAATGGATCATCTCTGATTAAATTTGGAAAAAATTTACGAGCAATACTGGGATCAATAAATGACTTAGTTGATCCAGAATCGATCAACATTTTAATTCCATATTCGGGAAAAAGAATGTAGGATAGTTCGCTAGCATTGCTGGCGTTAAGTGAAATTACTTCTGGTGCTAGGTCTTGTGTTCTATGAATGAGTCCTTCTGAAAATTTTGAGGTGGTTCTACGTGATCAGTTTCAGGAATATCTTGTGTATAATACTCGCAATACTGATCAGTGAAATATGTATCTGAATTTTGTAGTTCAGCTACAGTTTGATCGCAAACAAAAGATTCGTTACCAGGAACTTCATAGGTGTTATTGCTTTCTATCTCTGTATTGAATAGCTCTTCAGCGATCCAATTTGGTTTTGGTTGTTGCTGGGCTGTCGAATTATGTTCAGGTTTGAAAGAAATTCTAGTAGAAGTACTCATTGGAGTAGTTTGTGGTAAAGTACGGTTAGGGTTAGGTTTGAAAACGTTTCTGTTATTCTGTGTTTGTCTAAAAACTTGAGAATTCGTCGGAAATCTCTGAGGACGATAAATTGGTCTTGGCAAATTTACAGGTCCAGTCGGAAAAGTCGAATTGAACCTAGGTTGAAATGTTGAAGTGTTCGGCTGACTGAATGAATAATTAGTAGGCTGAAAGTATGAGGGTCTATTTTGACTTATCATTGGCCTTTGCATTGGCCTGGAAGTTTGATTCTGGAGCACATTTTGTGATTTTCCAAAATTTTTGTTATAATTTTGGAAATAGCTGACATTGTCTTCAGATATAACGAATTGTAAAGCTTGGCTGAGAGATGTGAGTTTCATACATCTAATTGTTGTACCCAAGGGCTCTCGTAGTCCGCACAAAAATGTTTTCAGAGCTAATTCTTGATATAAATTTCTTTTTAACACTTTTGCTTTTTCAGAATGTTCATGTACGTTTACATGGCTGCATAGCAGATTCAAAATATGAAGACACTTATCATAAAATTTTTGAGGCGTTTCATTTGGCATTTGCCTCAACATAACCAAATCACGATTTAGACAAGTTTCATCTCTTTGATCAGAAAAATTCCTAGTCAGAATGTCTTTTAAATCTGCCCAACTTGTGATATTTTGGATATTCACAAGCACTTTAGCATTTCCTTTTAATTTCGAGATCAGTGAATTTAGCAAATAGATATTTTGGAAATTATGTGGGTTCCGTATATCATAAAAATTTGCAATTAATGTTTCACTCACTGATAGAAACCTATTTAAGTCATTAGGATTTCCGTCAAACTCTGGGACGCAATTTAAAAATTCTGGTCTGAATTGAGACATGCTTGGAATATTTTCAATATTTAATCTAGGTGGTCTTAAAATAGGTGAGTCTGTTGAAAGTGTCAAATTATCTATAGCCTCTGCAATATCTTCCAAAGACATTTAAAATGTGTAGTTGCACTTACGCTAATACGAGGATGATCAAGTGCATCACGTTTCTTTCTTTGTCTTTACTTGGTTGCTTAACTATAAGGGGAAGATCTTGGTTGGGCGATCTGGTCCTTCTCCAAAATGTTCCGCTTGCAGATTTGGGCGATGTATGGTCCAAATCCCTGACTTCTTGGGTGGTAGCTGCACACGGTGTCTTCGATAGACCGGTTCCGCTCGAACTCCCACTCACCAAAGTCTTTAGTCCGTAGGCCGTTTTTCCGGTAAATTCGTCGATACGAAAACTGCTTTCGCGGTCTCGATTGATTCGCGAAACAGCCCGAAAATCCTACTGGCTGCGCCAATTATCTGACCGAGTCAGTCTACTTGCTTTTTAAAAAGATTTATTCTCGATTATCAAAAATACAATTTTATTGATGTATGTAGTATGAGCGCTAACAACAGACTAACTAACTCTGAATACAATAAAATAGGACTGGATAAGGCAAAGCGCTGATCCAGGGAAACTCGATCCTCTTCTTTAGTGGTAGGGGTAAATCTTCTGTACTATAACGCATGACAATATCTCCATGCAGAGAATTTATGGGTGGAAATAGTGAGTCGGATATAATAAACTGAATTCCTGAATATGGTTTCAAGTACCTGGATGCATGAATCCATTCCTAGGAAGATCATTCGCCTATTTATCTGTCCAAAATAGATATGAAATTTTGTATGCAATATCGCGATGGTTTATGTCTGCAAAAAGATGCATAGATTCAACAAACATTAAAAATTTTACACCTTGATGTGGGCTGAAATTTTATAATGATATTTATAGTTATAGTCTCAAATTTTTGGTTAAGGCTCTCACTAATATAAAAAATATCAGACAGGGCAGGGCATGTTTAAACTCAATTTCAGAGCATTTACACATTATACATACTTGTAGCCTAACACTGCTACGCAATCCAAAGTCCAACAATGATTTGTGTACAGGCATCTCCGACATCAACATTGCAGTTACACTTGCGATACAATGTTTCTTATCCAACATCTCATAAAGTTTGTGAGAACGAAATACATCTAAAAAAAAGCGATAAGTATATAAATATGAATATGCAATGATTATATTTGTAACTTACCATTCCTGTATCAAGGAACAGCTTGGTTGTAAGCTGTTAGGCTTTTATTTATAAATACACATCCATTTGCATTGTTCATTTTAGATCATTGATACCAGATATGGGACTTGAAGATACCACAGCTTGACGAATTTTTTCAATGTAGGGAGTTATTATTGACTCAACATTATTTGCAATTTGAATTAAAATTTCCTAAACGTCAAAAAAAGAAACATAACCTAACATCACGATTGACAGCAGACTAGAAATCTAAAGCAGTACATACAGGTACCTTATGAAAATGGCATAGGCGTATTCCTTAATTCACCGGTTGAGCTATTAGGAAGGAAGTAAAATTGGCTAACTGGTTGCACCGGTGGCTCAACCGGTGAATTAAAGAATACGCCTCATACGATTATGAAAATCAAGGAGGCCATAAAGGTGTCCTACAATAATTGTAGGAACGACTGACAATACGGGCCTTAAAGAAAAAACGCCGAGACGCGTCAAAGGATTTGTCAAGGGGGACAACTTTTTAACGAAAAACTACTTCACCCCCTTCCACCCTTTGCCCAGGGTCTTTCCTTTGAACATTTTAAATGACAAGGGGTATCGAGTAATGGCTTGTTTGAAAGCTTCTTCGAAGTCCTTTATTTTGACGTTTGATTTTCTTAAGTCAGTCGATTCGTTTTCGAGAAAATTAGAAAAGTCTTTATTTATCTTAATTTGTTCAGATAGAAAACTAGAACACATGAAAATATCACTTTTTATTCCAATAAGTGTTCAGAATTTTGCTTGTTATTGGCCAAAAAATGATATAGGCGATGTTCAAATTCCTGACGGACATTTTCAAAAACATGTGGTATATCATGGCAGCCTTCGATGATGCGTTGCCGAAGTTCATCCAGAGTTTCAGGTTGGGGAGTAAGCACAATATACCTATTTCAAATGGACCCATAGAAAAAAGTCTAATGGCGTCAAATCAGGAGATCTGGCAGGCCAATCTATAGGCGCTCTTCGCCCTATCCATTTATCTGGAAACTTGCCATTTTCGATAAATCCGTGGTGGGAAGTTTCCAAATGAACACCCTATGTATTTATTCTATAAATATACAAAACTTTACATAATTTGTGCTTTTGAAAACTATTTGAAGAAATATTAGGTTCAAATTCATTATTTTGGTCCCAGCTGTCACTTATTAGCGTATGCTTAGTTAATTATGTGACAACCTGCGACGTTGAAATATTTCTATTAACCAAAATAGATGCAATAGCTCTTATTCTAACTTAAAAAGGTTGAGCTTTATAATATGTTCAAGTCAGAAGTAATTATCACTAAATTTCCTTAATATTACTATAATCGATTTTTGAAATACCTAACTAATTTGGTAATGTTAAAAAATGTAGACAAAAAAACTAAACATTCTATATCACTTCTGTCACTACTGTTAAGCATTAAAGGTAATATGGAACTATTTTGGTCTACTGGCAAAATTTGCAACAGCAAACAGACCAAGCCCAAGACTTCGATAATTGGCCTTTTTGCACAAGACATTATTTTTTTCATTTGAATGATTGATATTTTCAATGCTATTCAAACTATGAAACCAATATATTTGTTCCCAAAATCGAAGTGAATCTAAATTGCAATAACCACCGCGTAAACGCAAGAATGCATAAACCTTAAGCGAAAATCAAGACTCACAGATGACAAATATTGAAGTTGAGTTAATTGTTGAAAAGTTATTCAGGCCGAGGGGCAATTATACATCTTTCCCGACTAATATCAAGTTGCCTTGGAATTACATTAATAAACAGCTGATGGAGTTCTTGTGGAATTTGGAATTTGGCTTGCAAATTGAGGGTTCTCGCGGTTAACGTTCAGCGAATATTTAGACAATTTTGTTTCCAAGATTGGAGGGACAATAAATAAAGTAAATTGATATTTTGAAATTAATAAACTTTAAAGGTGAGTTTACAGACGGTTGAATGTTTTCGTCTGTCCCAAAATGAGCTGCCTTGACGAGATTTTTCAACTTCTGGAAGTGAAAAAGTCGCAAAAACTCGTTTACCGACATTGCTGGTGACAAGGAACATTATCGTGATGCAACAGCCAGTTGTTCTTGATCTGGTGAACGTCGTGTAAGTCAAATTTAGCTCTTCCCCCGATCGTTCTGACGAGCAGCTGATGATCTAAACGCACAAGATTCCGGATTCTGTCGATATTTTCATCGGTTCTTGAAGATGAAGGCCTTCCGCTGGTTCATCTTCAATCGACACTCTTCCATCTAAAAATGCCTTAAACCACCGAAAAACCTTGACTCTTGACAAAACACTATCTCCGTAGGCCTGCTTAGCAAGAGTTGCACTATGCCCAAGTCTGAAGCCTGACAGCCCCGTCCCTCCAGTGTTGCCGGATGGAACGTTACGTTACCAGTCTGTATTTCCTAATATATTTTTGAACCACCTATCACTCTTTTTGTTGCAGTTTTATCTTCATCAATAAATGTTAGCTATAACCACTGTAAATTTTTTCATGTACATAAATGTCCCCAAAGCTGTTTGCGTATCGCAGTGCAGACACGGATATTTCTTAGTAAGGTTGTCTGACTCCATCCAGAATCCCTTTTTCTTTCAATGCTGCTTTGTCTCGGAAGGTATGTCCCGAATACGCTGTTTTGTACACGCATCATTTGTAGTCTAATATTGTATAACAATTAACCGGCGTGTTATGGGTGGGCTTTGTCGTTTTCGGAGGACTTTTGGCGATGCGCGAGGGTAGTAGTGTGGCTAGGCCGTAAAGAGCCTCGCAAGACAGTTAAAAGAACATCCTATTTTTTGGACATTGGGCGATTCTAGCTTGAAAAGAAATGGAATCCAGAACCAACGATTTGAAAAAAAACTATTCCGCGCGCGATACTCGGGAAATCTCCGAGTTGTCAATTATTTTTGTTTAGGGATGCAAACATCGTAGAGATAAAAATCAACGTATTCATAAATCGAAGTTCTTTTTTGAATTTCGCAGCAGAAATGATCTTAATGAGCTGATAGATAAGGAGCTTTTGACCAGCGACTGTAAAGGCCGATTTCGAAATTCTTGTGTCCTTTGTTTAATTCAACATTTAGCTCCTGCACTATTTAAATAACAAATATAATACCACCAAAAGTGTGTGATATATTAAAAAAAGACAGCGCGAAGCGCCATCCACCACTAGAATCAACCACTGCGAACAGTGCATCGTATCCAACCGGATCTAAATATAGATCTCAGTCCGCGAATTGGATGCCCAGTCACCACGTGCTGGCTAGACGATTCTAGCTATGTAGCAGACATGATGTACATACTTTTGTTTGTCCTCAGCGTTGATGACTGCGTTGTGTGTGAGGTGTAGAGTCAACCTACTTGATGCCGTTATTTGTGTATTATGTGAACTGATGATTATACTAGGAAAAAACTCTTCATACTTTCAGCTATAATATTGATGGTGCGTCGTTGGATAGATGTGATAATATCAAAGATTTGGGTGTTATTTATGACATTTGCTCTCCAAACTTCTCATGAATTTCCAGAAGCGCTTAAGTCATACGGTTTTCTTGTCAGGAATTGTAGGCAATTTCACTGCATAAGGGCTTTAAGGTATTATATTTTGCTTATATGGGAATATTATATGGAGACCGTATTACCAAATTTATATAAACGAAATTGAAAAGGGTTAAAGAAGGTACCATGAATTTCTTTATGTAAGTTCTGAGCGAATTTATCCTGAGCAAGAAGCAATGCAGAGCTGTGCGGACATTTTGAAATTCAAAGCTTAAAGTTCAGAAGAAAGGTTTTATCTGGAATATTGCGGACTGATTGGTTAAGTGTAAGAGTAGCAAATGCTAAACTTCGCCAATCAATCCGCTGTAATTTTGTAATTTTGCTAATAAAGACGTCTAATAATATTTCTTTCCAACATTTATGCACCTCCGTTTCTTCGTGTAATTATGTCATTTTTGAGCCATCTAGTGCAAGGACCAAAGATTTGGTCAGTTCACGTGTGCAAATTATATGAAGGGTACCGGGGAAAAACGGCATTATTTGGCTAAATTGAGCTTTCAGTTTATTTTGGTGGCATTTTCCTGATGCTATCTTGTACTCAGCTTCTTAAATTGTAAAAAGGGCTTAGGTTCACAAAACAACAGCTATAAGATTCCCTGTGCCGGGGAAGAAGGGCATGAGTCCCTGCGCGTGTATGGAAAAACGGCATCAGTCCATATGGAAAGGCGGCGCTGCATCGGCCGTACCGCTTGCGCTTCGTTATTGCATCAGCCGTTAGTTTACTATTACATATTAATATTGACTCTATTCGCTAATTTAGTTTATAATACGAGTTTTTTTGTATAATGGGTAGTGACTATTCAGTTTCAAGTGAAAATCTTTTTACTACTGTGAAAGTTAATATTCCCGATCAGGGGGCATTGTTACCTCGAGTGTGATAGAGATATGAATCTCGTGAACCAAAGAGCATACACTGAGGTACCGGATGACTGGAGAGATGAATTGAAAAATTGCCGTGTGAAACCTACACCATTTGAAGTCATTGGTTGTGGCAAAAATTTTCACTGCGAACAGTGCATCGTATCCAACCGGATCTAAATATAGATCTCAGTCCGCGAATTGGATGCCCAGTCACCACGTGCTGGCTAGACGATTCTAGCTATGTAGCAGACATGATGTACATACTTTTGTTTGTCCTCAGCGTTGATGACTGCGTTGTGTGTGAGGTGTAGAGTCAACCTACTTGATGCCGTTATTTGTGTATTATGTGAACTGATGATTATACTAGGAAAAAACTCTTCATACTTTCAGCTATAATATTGATGGTGCGTCGTTGGATAGATGTGATAATATCAAAGATTTGGGTGTTATTTATGACATTTGCTCTCCAAACTTCTCATGAATTTCCAGAAGCGCTTAAGTCATACGGTTTTCTTGTCAGGAATTGTAGGCAATTTCACTGCATAAGGGCTTTAAGGTATTATATTTTGCTTATATGGGAATATTATATGGAGACCGTATTACCAAATTTATATAAACGAAATTGAAAAGGGTTAAAGAAGGTACCATGAATTTCTTTATGTAAGTTCTGAGCGAATTTATCCTGAGCAAGAAGCAATGCAGAGCTGTGCGGACATTTTGAAATTCAAAGCTTAAAGTTCAGAAGAAAGGT